TAGCAAAAGCCAGCTGGCAGCAGCCAAAGAAGCCCTCGGGGCCGCGCAAGCTTCTCTCATCTGGGGGCTATTGTCCCACCAGCTGCAAGCTGGCAGCTGGAGACCAGGGTGCCAGTGCTGGGAGAGCCAGCTCCCCGCCGCGGGAGAGCCCGGCCTCGTTACATCCCGCTCCTTCTTCACAGGCATCCAGCAGTTACCGCGTGCCGTGGCACGGGATGCTCCTGGAGAAAAGGGCAGGCCCAGGGTCCCGCACACGCAGCAACTGGTTTCTTTGTAAACAGTTGAGACCGCACCACCATTAAATACATTTAACCACCATCACAGAAAATGTGAAATACCTATTCAGTGACAGAGGTTTGTGGGAACTCTGGTTTATGATTGATTGCTTTTTTGCACAGGCAGAGCTTATCAAAGGACTTTCAGATAAAGGGATTTTTAGATTTCAGGGAGCAGGTGCCAACCTTAAAGGACGAGTAAGCAAACTAAACGCTTCTATTTCAAGCGAGGACCTTGACCTACAAAACTTGAAGGCTCATTTCTGTGGCTTTGGTTCAAGTCCAGCTCTAGTTCCTTGCCAGTTTTTACTCTGTCGGTGCTCGATGTACTGCCTGTTTGACCTTGCAGTGATGATACAGCACTCAATTTTGACCTTCACCTTCCCAAGCAAAAACTGGTTGTAAGAGGATGGCCACAATTAACATCAGAGCTAAAAGCCTCCAGCAGTCCTTTATTTTCTCCTCTCTATCTGTATGTGTATCTCTCTATATACACACACACAGACACTTCGCATTTCTGTTAAATTCCGACTTCAAAGGATGTCCGAGACGCATGCTTCAGGATTTAAAAATCTGCAGTGCAGCTCATTGTATGAGCTCAAGGTTTTACACATAAGCTAGGAATGGATTGCGGCAGTGACCCCACAGTCAATACCTCCGTGGAGTCCTTGCAGAAGAGCCAAAGGTTTGCTTTTCATTCACCAACCACTCGCATCTTTGCACTGCTTGATGTTAAGCAAGCCAGCCTACAAACAATTAAGTTTTACTGCATGGCCAGATGAGAGCCAGAGTAATACCTGAAAAGACTTCTGAACACTCAGTAAGACAGTTTACAAAGTGTCCTGGACACGAGATGAAAAAAACCCAACCTCAGCAGTATCATTTTGTTCAAAATTAACCTCAGAGCTGTGGTAACTACTTGGCTAGAGCATAAGACGATCTAAGGGTGGCACCCACCCCTCCCTTCCCCACAACCCCCCACCCCCCAAAACAAGAAGAAAAGGAGAACCAAAAAGAAACTATTGTAGGTAGCAATACAAGACATTAGGACACTGTCCACAATGATGGGCTTACAGCATGTAAATACATTTATTCTACCTGTCAGCAACAGAAATAGCAAGCAATCCAAGGAACAGACATGTTTTGCTCTGTGGGCATCCCAGACTCCAACATGTCTCATGAGTGCATTTCTGCCAGTGACATGGGAAAAAAAAGAGTCTCGGTCTCCCACAGAAGCAAATCTTTATGGAAGAGACCCTCACTGCCTCAAAACTTTTGAGAGTCAGCAAAACAGCACTTGAGTCTTGCACTGTTTAGGGAGATACAGTGGATCAGCTGTGATCAGAAAATTCAGAAAAAAACCCCAACCAAACCCCAGACTTACCCTATACACTGACAGCCACCTTTACAAGAACAACACAAGAAGAACTGAAGGAAAAAATCAGGTGAGAAGGACTGCCTCTGACAGTGTTTCTTACTCAGAAATTAAAGGTTTTCCTTGAAGTCAGTAGATATTTTATATATATTTATATAATATATATATTATTTATAGCGCTAGCAATCAACATGTAATGAAGAGATGGTGTGAAGAGCAGCAAAACTGCTACAGCACATAGTCGAAAGTGGACAACTAAAAGGATAAGCATTTAAAAAAGTACTAATAACTGGAGGGTAAAAAGCCTGCAGCCTTATTTATTTATTTATTTATTTATTTATTAAAGCAGATATGCTTACCTGACATCAAATGGTACAATAACTTGTAAGAGTCGGTTCTGTCTGCCAAGCTTCTTTGCCGTGTTCAAGAGCTGCCCCACGGGAAAGCCTTTCCCCGAGCCACGGCGTGCTGGCGCCGGGGCTGAGCCCCACGAGATGGCACTGTGTCCCCGCAAGCCAGGCCGAGGGACCGCCGCTGGTTTTTCCTCCCACCAAAGACCATCTCCCGAGCGGACCTGGCCGCCCTTGCGTCCCACGCTCCGCGGGGCAGCAGGATGGGGATGCCGAGGGATGCGCACTGCCGGCCCGTCCCAGAGCTCTCTGCCCAGCCGCACGCCCTGCCAGTGCGGTACCCCCAGAGAAAAACTAAAAAAAACCGAGCAAAATTAATGCAGCGGGAGTGTCAGGTGAGGTGGGATCTGCCACGACTGGCGGTGGCAAAGCACAGAAGAAACGTCCCCATCCCTGGCACCTTCTTGCTGCCCTGCCTGGGCTGGGACAGCTTGCATACACTGCACTGGGACCCTGCAAAAGCTGATGGAGCAGGGGACGGCGAAGCCATCCAGCCTGTGCTTGCAGTGGGCGAGGGAAGGTTTCTTGAGCAGTCGGGATGGAAGAAGAGCAGCTTCACCTCCTAGCAATGGCAGTGCCGTTGCCCTAGTGATGTTCCCGCCTGCCATTTACCTCTGTGGATGCTCCTCTTAATCAGAGAGTGCCTTTTCCTCTCAATAAATACCCTTTACAGTGATGCTGTTAAAGGAAAATGCCCCAGAATATTTTAACAAAGTTGCTCATCTGCTTTTCTTGAAGGAGGCATGACGGGTAGGTCAGAGAGCTGGCAAAAGGAGCATTGACTCGTAGCGATACAGAGAACCATGAGACACTTCCTGGCAAGGCCCCCTCTGAGAAGGGCGCACGCCCTGCCCACCCAGCAAACGCCCTGAGCCGGGAGCACCAGCGAGCCTGGGCATCTGCTAGCAAAGACCGAGTCAAAGAGGGGAAGGGGCCGAAGGACAGTTCAGCTTACGTACGCGCCTTGGAAGAGGGGTCATGCAGGAAGGACACGTGGGAAGGGTGAAGAAGCCCAAACTAAATACAACTGGTTACACCTAAAGATGGCACAGGAAGGAGAAAAGCTGAGACCCGTCTTTTAAGAGCCATTTTATAGCTACAAGGTGAGTAAAAAATGTAGGGAAAAGGGAAAGGGCAGAGCTGGAAGCCCCAGTCGAAGCCTCCTGAAGTTGAACACAAGATTTCCATTAGCATTGCAATGGGCTCCATTAGACGCCCAAGGTAAACAAGAAGATGGTTGGTTGTGGAAAGGATGCCCTTGGCATCTCGACATTCAGAGAAGGTGGGGTTTATGCATGTAAAATGCAGACAGATGTCAAAAGTTAAAATGTATGTCCTCTGGTCTCCGGTTTTGACTGAAATGCTGGCTTGCAAACTGCCAGGTTACCTCTTACGAGGAAGGGAGTGCTTTGTGATCGCTGCCCAGCACTCAATCATACACCGCTGGTGTCAGGGAGCTGAGAAATTAAAAAGTCCCAAGCCTATGGAAATGTCAAATGGCAAAAAGGCCAGATGAAATTTTCCTTTCATTCTGACCAATGACATTTTCAGTTACCTTTAAAGGCGCAATCTGGAAAGCCTTGGGGATAAACAAAACCAAAAAAACACAAAAGAAAGCAAACGAACCCCAGTCTTGGGAAGCAGATGAAGCAGGAATACGCGCAGGGGCAGGGGCAGGCATGTGTGCACAACAACAATAACCAAGGCCTGGCTGGACACCTGGAGCAGACGGGCTGGGGAAGAAAGCCTGTCTGCACCAGAAGTAGAGGACAGACAAGCCTGGCAGTAAAACTGCTGTGATCCTGTGCGCAGTCATGTACCAAAGCGTCAGTCTTTTCACTGAGCAGGAAACAAAATGTTTGCAGTGACAACCCAAAAAGCAAGAGTTTGCTCCTTTTGCCCAGTTCCCACTTCAGCTGTTCGTGGTGGCCAGGAGGGAGGTGGCCGAGAGGGACAAACGTCCCCGCGGTCAGCCAGTGAGGACCCGCACTGCCCTGCCCAGGCGGCGGAGGGAGCGCAGCGAAGGCAGCCAAGTGTGGTACATGGGATTTCGACTTCGCCGCCCCACCACCCTACACTGGCTCACACAGCAGAGACCTCCTTGGCTGCAGCAAGCTCCGGAAGAGCAGCAGAGATCCGCCGAGCAGATCGCACCCAGAAATGACCCAGAAGATGACTCCCAGCAGCCCTGACCACCGCAAGGGTGGAGGAGGTGGTGGGTTTCGGTAAGAGTGAGCATCTGTGGCTCCATGGGAAGCTAAGGCGAGCTGCTGGCTCTGAGACCGCTTCAAAGCAAAGCAAGACATATGGAGGCCCACCTTGGATGCACAGATCGGTGGCCAATGCCAGTGCCTCCATGATTGCAGCCATCCTCCTGAACCAGCAGGCTATGTGTATTTGGACCGGGAGGCCGTCACTGGTTCACAGCCACCTCAGGACAGGATTGCTTCTTGGAGCAACCTGGAGGCACCAAGGTGGTGCAAAACATCCCAGGGAGGGGTGCGGGGTTAGATCCTTTGTGGGTGCAGATCAGTGACTTCAGCAGAGCGTCACCAGTTTATACCAGCTTTGCACTGGGCATGAAGCACAGCAATGCTAACACCAGGTGAGCAGCCCTCGTGGGCTAGCAGAGGACTTTGGAGGAGGAGTACGATGGCTGGAGAAGGGAAGGACAGACAGCATACAGAAGGACGCATCTTAGCAGGCCTTCAGGAAGGGGACAAGAGGTTCCGTAAAAATGGGAATGATTCATTCTGCTGCTGACAAAATTAGAAATAAAGTAATAATGGTAATAATAATAATCATTATAATCCTTGCACTAGATACTAATTAGTAAATAATTATCATAGCAACTTCTCTTTTTAATTTTTTTCTGGGTTTCGTTTTTTTCCTCCCCATAACCACTCTGAACTGCATATCCGGCCCCTCCTGTACAGCAAAGGGGTGGAAAGGGTGTTGTTACATTGTGAATTGAAAATTAACTCCGATCCTACGTTCCCCACTGCCCTAACAGCTATTTTCCACATGGGCTCAGTGGGACTGCCTGGGGGAAGGAAGGGGATGTTACATGTGTTCCTGCTTAGCACCCAGAGTACCTGCTTTCCAGATGCACATGTCTCAAACTCTGATTTTCTTGTTGTTGGTTTTTTTTTTTTTTTTTTTATTGTGAATTGAAAATTAACTCCGATCCTACGTTCCCCACTGCCCTAACAGCTATTTTCCACATGGGCTCAGTGGGACTGCCTGGGGGAAGGAAGGGGATGTTACATGTGTTCCTGCTTAGCACCCAGAGTACCTGCTTTCCAGATGCACATGTCTCAAACTCTGATTTTCTTGTTGTTGGTTTTTTTTTTTTTTTTTTTAGAGCAAATCGTCTAGGAAACGGAACAATGACAGGAGGATCATTGTGAGACAATCGATGTGCAGAATTGTAGCCAAAATCTGAATTCCTCAGAAACCAATAAGCTGAAATAGCCACAACCAACTGTCCATAGCCTTGTCTAGAATGGCTTTAAACAAAAAATATAAAGAGCCATGGACAGTCTCCTTACCCCTGTCCAGAATTTGATGTAAACAACATCCATAGAAACTGGGATTGTTAAGAAAGTTTATCCATATATCTGGATAGCAATAAAAAGCGTTTCCTAGGAAACTGTAAAATCCTGTACCAAGCAGTGTACAGCCAAGCCGAGAGGAACATTAGGTTGATTTATATTTTCAAGGTACAACTTTGCATGATTTCTTTTAGATCCTGTGATAATGTACAAGGAGAGCACGTGTGAAGGTCAGGGCTGCTTTTTTTTTTTTTCTCGTTTGTTTGCTTGCTTTCTTCTCTGAAACGTCTCTTGTGTAACTCATTGGTCTGGCTTTTCATTTCAATCCTCGTTTGTAATAACAGGGCATTACCGCTCCCTGCGTCTGTCCTTCCTGTTCGCACCAAGGCTGCATCAGTAATTTCCTTCTGCTGCCAAAGAAACAACGGTTTCATGTCTTCCCATTTCTTCAAGAACCGCTGCCAGCATGCTCAGGTTGCCGTCAGGGAAATTCTGGGCTTCCCAGAGATCCAGGATCACCCCGGTGGGACTCGATTTCGTAGCAAAATAATTTAGGTACCTGCAACAAGCCAAAAGGAAACTCATTTTTATGAGCCGCATGAAGGCCACGTGGATCTACGTGATTTCGGCCCATGCCCATTGCTGGTGCTGTCAAGGCGCTCATCTCCTGTGCGGTCAGCCTGACCAGGCTGTAGACAACACATCTGCCATCACTCATCTTCACCGGGACCCTTTTGCGCATCCCTCCCGGGGGCTCTGCCGCCCGACCAGGCGCAGGCAGCCCCGCTCACCTGTCCAGTTTCAGCTTGTGGGCCAGCATCCGCCAGTCGTGGCCCCTGGTCTGGGGTGCGTCCAGGCTGCTGCACAGCTTCTGCCTTATCGGGAGGGGGATGCTGAAAGCGCTGGGCCCTGCTATGGTGGTGATGGTGTCTGCTGAGTCCATGGGAGGATAATCGATGCCAGCAGGTTCCTGAGGTCAGAAAGAAAGAAAGAAAAGAAAAGAAACCCAGCATTTTTGTTACTGAGTACAGAGACAGCTGTAGAAGTGTATTCTCTGAGACTCAGTGCTTTTACTTGCATTAGAGGGCAACAGGCCTCTGCTAATCAAGCATTTATGTTAGTCAGCTGAAAAAGAGAAACATTTATAACCAGCTTTGGGTAGACAGCAGATGACTTTTTTCCCTACTTTTTTTTGAGGGTGAAGATTACTACGGCCGGACAAAACTGAGCCCAGCTTAATCACTCACTGGAAATAATGAAAGATCGGGCACTTTCTGACACATTTCAGAGCAAATTGCTACTGCCATGGTAGGACAGGACTTTCCTGACTTGGCTGGCAGGAGCCCCTTCCCGGCAGCGTCCCAAGCCCCCCACCCCACACAGAGCCAGCACTGGGCTCACGCTGCTGACATCCCTCTGCAGCACCCATGCTCTCTGAAGCCTCTGATGCCAGGCAGATCACGGAGAGATGGTTAATACCACCTGAGGCACAAGCTGATCCCTCATTTTCATGCAGATTTAACTCTGTGCTGGAGATAGATGGAGCGTGTGCACTCGGGGGGTGGACGTCACCCTCCTCCCCAAGACCGGTACTGCGCTCAAAGGTGGTGGCAGCAGCGTTTCAAGGGGAAAGCTGCCTCCAAAGCCAGTCTGTCGCCCGCAAGTATGGGGTTGATGTGCTCTGATGTGGTCATCCCAGCTGGGAGGCTCCCCATGACACAGCTGTAACGTAGCTCCGCTGGGAATAACAAGCGGTTGGCTCTTCTGGGCAAGGATTTTCTCTCTTGCTTGGCCTGGAAGGATTTAGCAACCACAGGTAGGTACAAAGGGGGGCTCAGTAGCTGGTAGAACAAGGGTAGCTGGTCAATCTGGATGGTTGGGTTTGCTTAGAAATGATGAGGTCCTGCAGGAAAGCCCCACTAAACCCCATTGATGCTGCCCAGCCACCCGACTGCGCAGCGGGGAAGCTCCTCACGCGCGGCACTTGTCACCTCCAGCTACCAAAGCACACGGTGGAAAAAGCAGCAGGCGGGTCTGGGTCTCCTCTCACGCCTCTCACCCCCCTTCTCAATTGCTCTCCTTTGCGGCACGGCAGGCCTGAGGCTGGGCTGGCAGAAACGGGGGAGCTGCTTCACCTCTGCCTCTGCCCAAGTCACAGCCCCCGGGCAGCCAGAAACATCGGTGCAAAAGACTCGTCGTTAAATGTCAATTTGTTTTCTCCTCTGTGAGCTGTCTTGTTGCTTCGTGTCAAGTTGGCTGTTGGGAAGGCGCTGGAAAACCTGAAACTGTCTCAAAACCAGGTAACACCTGGCTTAAGGTGCCGTCACAGATCCCCCAGGAAGCTTGCTGGAGACACTCACAGTTGTGTGCACTTTGTTTCCCCCCAAAAAATGTACACAGAGATGAAAAGGGGAGAGTCAGTATCCGTGAGCAATGAACAGTATTAAATCTTTTTTGCCTCCCCTCTTTTATCCACACCAGTTAAATCTTTTCCACTCTACAAATATGCCTTTTTTTGCCCTTTTTTTTTTTTAAGAAATGGCATCTTAGTCAATCAGTGAAATTTGTAACCACGGAAGGTTTATGCCACACTGTCATGTTCTCAGTGAATATGCCTAAAGCAGTGCCAATACATGGCATCCCTAATTGGGTGCCCAGGCCCTGCATTGCAGACCGGCCACCTCAGCAGGCAAAGAGCTACTGTCTTCTAACTGCCGGGCAGCGCGGGCAAAACGACTGCCATGCCTGCAGGCTCACCCCGCTGAAGGGTCAGAAGTGGCAATAGGATGGTGGCATCGCGGACGGACAACCTTCCCTTTTTATTCTGGGCCAAGAGATGCAAGCGGCACACCGAGGCAGCGCTGCCCCGGTTCTCGCGGTGGCCTGGTGCCCCAGGCACATCAGGATTGCTGCAGAAGGAGCCCAGGTATCCGTGCGGTGCCCTGGGGCTCTGTCGGGTGAGTATTGACAGCGCGAGATAAAAAGGGGGCTTCAAAAACAAATGGTGAGAGACCTTTATCACAGTCTTCGTCTTGCCTCGCAAATGTGCCTGTTTTGGCACTCCTTGCATTTGTATTTTTAAAGTTCTAGTGGAAGACACTGGATAAAGCCAGAATAAGACAGTTCAATCTGCAGAAGTTTTACATCCTTTACAGGGGACAAAAAAGAAAGCCCATGAAGAGAGGATGCAGGAAACTGTGTTACTATATTTGTACCACAGGGTGACAAAGGCAGATCCAGCAACAAAGAAAGGCACCAGCATGGTTCTGCAATGCTCAGGCACTAGCTGGACACCACTAGCCTAACCACAGAAGAAAATGTGAGGATCCACAGCTAAGGTTTGCTGATGCCTGGTCTGGCATCTTTATCACCCCTCTAGAGGCTTACACATCAGTTTCCAGGATGCTGTTATTATACTTCCAGTTGATTTTTGTCATCAAATTGTCTGAGTTTTTAGGTTTTTTTTTCTAGTTGACACAACCCTGTATGCCAGCCCTTAGCAGCCTGACATCCTCCTGCCCCTGGCTGGGGCTTGGGCGTAACACGAGGTGTCAACTATGAGGAGCAATTTTGCAGCAGGCAGTCTTGATACAGCGGTATTATTCACTCCCTCTATTCATCCCTCATGGATGGGACTGCAGCACAAGACAAGAATATTATTCTGTTCCCTCTGCATCTATTACCAGGAATATTATCCCGTTCCCTCTGCATCTATTACCAGGCCCTATTACACACAAGCAGCTGAAGATGATTATAGTGTATACTTGCATTTCATTAAAGTTACTCTCAGTTCTTTCTCTTTTCTGTGAGGTTAAATTAGAGATTACCTCAACGCAGCACTTATTACAATAATTGTTTATGATACTTGTTTTACCATCTGTCTTTAATGCTGTGTAGTCCCCAGCTGAATGTGTAAGTTTATACCCAATAACCAAGCAGATGTTACAGGTAATGGTGCACACCATCGGGGTCCTACAGCACAAGTAACTTTTGTCTGTGGTCTCCCAGCCCTTCCACAAATCAGCCAGCAGCAATTGCGACCCGAGAGCCTGCTCTTCATAGGCACCAAGGGTACCCAGGACCTTGTACAGGCGGGTCTTGAATATCTCTAGAGAACGAGACTCCACACCCCCCCTGGGCAGCCTGTTCCAGGGCTCCGTCACCCTCAGAGGGAAGAAGTTCTTCCTCATGTTCAATTGGAACTTCCTATGCTTCAGTTTGTGCCCTTTACCCCTTGTCCTGTTGCTGGGCACCACCGAAAATGTCACTTGGTCTCAGCTCTAAGCTTGACAGCCCCAAAGAGCAAAAATTCTTTAGGTGCTATGTAGCATCAGCAAAGACGTTCCCAACTTATGATCGTTTTTGTACTGCAAAATGTCAGCCATCAAAAGAAAAATTGTTGAAGATGATAGTCAGGATTTGTAGCGGTAGCAAAATCTGAGGAGAATAGTCTATTGCAACTAGACCATCTGATATTGCCTATTGCACAGCAGGATCAGAGTGGAGTGGCTCATACAAACACACGGCAATGACATTTTCCTTTTCTCTTTCCTCCCTCTCGAGGGAAATGTCAGCCATGATGCTCTTCTGGACTGCCAGGAAGCAGGACCATGCAGCGCTTTATGAGATGTATTACGGAGTGGCAGGCAAAGAGCTCCTCCACGCAGGCACAGAAAGGCGGCACTAGCAGGGAGAGCACAGCTGCCCTCCTCCCTCCATTGCAGGGGCGATGCGCCCTTCCAGATGAGAGAAACAAAGGGAAAATGCAACAGGAGATATCAAGCAATGACTTAATCCATCCCTTATGTTCATCCCAGCAGTCAGGAGGAAAATGGGAAGCATCAAACAGGCAGGAACGGGAAAGCGTATACCTCCTTAACCCTCCCACATTCCTGCAGTCGGATAGAGGAGTGCACCACAGTCATTTACCTCTGAAACGGAGCAGTTGAGCTGGAATATCTGCCCTTCTCCTTCGACCTGCCGCACGCAGAGTTTGCACACCAGCTCCAGGGTATTCAGGCTGAACCTTTCCAGTGTGAAGGTGCAGTGCAGGTTCCTCTGGCATCCACTCCAGATGTGGTAAAAGGGAATCTCCTGCAGGAGGAAAGGAAAAAAATTATAGTCAGGGAGGGATGCAGGACCAGGGTATGGATGCTACATGATCAGAGACTGTGGGCTCCACGCTACTGTTCCTGCAAATGGTCTGGGGAAAAAAATGTCCATGGCACTGCAGGCTGGCACCTGGTGTTTTTTAAACCCTCCTGTGTGTCATTGTGTTTCTTTAAGCCTCACTGCCAGGATCCAATGTGAAGGGTTTGTAGTGCTCACCTGGTATTTAGCCAGCAGTTTGCTCTTCCAGAGAGAGTGGGCAATGTCATGAATGGACAGGCGGAGGTTGTGGGTGCTTCCCTTAAAATGCAAAGCTTTGGGTTCCTCCAAAAGCTGCCCGCCCATCTGCCGCTCGAGCTGGAGGACCTCCTGCAGTATTGCGACAACAAGAAGAAAGTGGTCAGGTTTCATCCAGACAGCACACTGGTCTTCTGATTCCTCAAGACTGACTGCTGTGGATGCTGTAACATGTCTAATACAGAAAAAATGCAGAGTTGTGTTTCCCTGTGAACTGAATTGCACTATCAGATCTGAGTATAACCCTCTCGGCCTCATCACACAGCAGCAGCCCAGCAGGAACACAGACACCTATGTCTACGTTGGCAGACACACTGTTATCCAACATGTCCTACAAGCAGAAAGCTTAACTGCATGCAATTATATTGAGCACAAAGACTTTGCATACAGGCACTGTTTGAATATGGAAGTATATCAGTCTTCTCAATTGCTCACCAAACTGGACATCTAATGGTAGCTTTCCTATTTTACTTTTTGATAGCTCTTCTTTGCAGAGGTCCTGTTGATATGGGATCTGTGCACACTGCTGGTCCTTCAGCTTGTGGCCTCCTGGCAAACCGCTCCGTGACAGAGCAGTACAAGAGATAATCGATGCCTACTCCGAGACTAACTGTCAAGCAGGATGGTATCAGAACAAGAGCCAGACACTGTGATGGAGCATTTTGTACATATGAATACATAGGTCTTTTTTCACTTCATTTCAGGGTTCCTGAAATATGTATCTTCTAATTCAAAACTAGTAAGCCAACAGTCTGGTCATTTTCTGCAGCTAAAACCAAATATATGCCTGCAACTAATGAGACCACAGTGGACCACTGCCTACAAACAGCCTAACCGTAGTCCACAGGAAGAAGCAAGTACAAAGGCACCTACATGAGCCCCATTAGAAACCAACAGAGCCAGACTCAGTTACATTTAATTACAAGAGCCAACCACCAACCAGTCTCATGTGGCCATCACGTACAGAGTGAGCACACTCAAGGAGTATGCAGGCACATGAAACCAGGATGCTACCCCTGGCTAACTAAAGGAGCCTTCGTTTAAGCTAAGTGCAAAACAAGCTACTCTTGATCGCTTTCAGGATCTAGTTAGCATAAAAGAAAAGCCCCTGTCCCTAGCGAGCCCTGTACCTGGCGGATCCTGAAGCTAAAATGATGTTTGTTTATCTGCCATTAGGTAAAGAAACAAAATCAGGAAACCTTTTAGATTAAGGTTATGCCAATGAATCAGTTCCAGCTTCTTTCCAGTGCCCCCTAATTACCTCGTCAAGCTATCTACAGAGCAATCGATAGTAATTATCTGATCACTATAGATCTTCATTGCATCCAGATTACCTCCTTGGAAGGGCCAGAAGACGACTCGCAGCACTGTGTGAGCTAATTGCAGACGCCACCTCCTAGGCACGCAGGGCGCGGGGGCTGAACAACCGCTCCTGCCTGCGCAGTGCCAGCCCTGGGAGCTGCGCTGCTGGGGAAAAACATCACAGCGTGACGCTGCACCAGCCCACCCACCAGATCTGGGTGCCTGGTTTCAATATCCCGCTTTCGGTATCCACCCCTGTTCACCGCAGCCCCTCTGCATGCTCCAACTGGAGTGTATCGAGCAGCTTGTGCTTCTCCCATGCCGCTCAGCTAATTAATTCAGAATTAATTCGGAGCCATGACTCCTACAGCCCTTCAGACCTGCAGACTGGCTCTAGCCATACAGAATTTTATTTAGAGCAACGCTTATCCCGCTGGCTTGAAACCTCTAGGCCCTCCTGAGCCAAAACCTTTGCTATGCATTGCTTGTCCTGTGTGAAGGTAGCTCCGGCCACCCTCCCCGTCGCCTCTCACCACCCCTGTGCACTGGGACTTACACCCTTATGCCCTTCCTAGGCAGAGAAGATATGTAATGCATTGCTCCATCATCAGTGCCACCAGGACAGCCACAAACTGTATTCGGAAAGGGTTTCCTCACTATGGTGCAGAAGCAAGCAACTGTGATTAGTGTAAGAAATTGCCCTTCTCCATTAGAGGGAAAAATATGCAATAAGTGAGAGAAGATCACACGCCTGTTATGCTTTTTTTCCTTTCTTTTGGAGGACGGTTACTGCACAGCACAAGGCAGGTGAGGGGATGCCACGCTGCTACAGCCTGGAATCATTCACTCACCCCTGGTGTGTGAGGCTGCTCAGCCCCCACCACACTGCCACACACAGCTCACATACATCAACGTCAAAGCCACACGTGAATAAACAGATGAGAATAAAGCAGCTGGATTTCTTTACACTTACTGTATTATTACTTTCTTTTCTTTTATAGCACAGTAGTTCAGGCAAAAGCTGCAAAAATCAGCCTTCAAAAAGAAGCCACTTCTCAAGGATGTTGTTACCCTCGCCTTTCCCCCAGAAGTGTTTTTTGTGAGCATCCCATCTGGGTGGCTCGGGACGCTGCGGGGCAGGGGATGCTGCACGCGTGACCTGCGCTGAACCCACTGCTCCACAGCCCCCAGGAACCCCGCCAAGCCGCTCCCACAGTAACTGAGCCCTTATTGATGACAAGTCATTACACTTCCCTACTGTACTGCGGGTGCCGGCAGTTCGGCGGCGAGTGCTTACTCTGCATGATGAGAGGAAAAGCCTGCTGGATAAATACAGCACTGTGTTTTATACCGCAACTGCTTGTCTTCCTTTGGTGGCTGTTAGGACACATTCAGCATATGGCACACTCATTCCTAGTTGTAAATAATAACAGAATGCATTCAGCCGCCCATTAAAATAAACACATAATCTCCTACAAAGGCTCTTCCAAACCTCAGACATCCCACCGTGGGAACATCTCATGCTGCTCTTCCCTCCCCTCGCCATGCCTTGCCTGGAGCAGCCAGCCCCAAGACACCAAGAGTGTGCAGCTGGTGCCTCGCTTGCTGCCTACAACCTTCCCATCCTCTCCAAATTTCTTTTAACCTCAGGACCCGCTGGTCCAGCCCCGTCTGCACGCCTTGTCCCGCACAGCCAGAGGTAATGGTCTGGTGAATGCTTTTCCTACTGTGGTGCCAGCTGTTCTGAAAGCACGTGGCAAACACCCAACATTTTATTCTTTCTAAATAGTCATAGTTGGAGTCTACAGAACACCACTGCACAGGGCTGGTTTGCACACACTGGTTTATACACACTGGTTCATGTTCAACCCTTTCAGCTACAGCTAGTTTACTGTGTTCACTTTTCCTAAACCTTCTCCTTCCCCCGACCTTTCATTTCCAGGAAAGTGCAACTGATACATTCATAAGAGTTCGTGGCCAGCAAGTACGTGTGTAAACCACCAGCTAGCTGGGTCTTGAACCCCATGGGTGGCCTTCCAGTCTTGGGCTAGATGTGCCAAAAAAGAAGAAAACTAAAATGCACGTACTTTGCTGTAGAAAAGCAGTAGGTCAGAGTAGAAATGTGGCTGCCTGATTTTCTTCACCCTTCCCCACCAAATTACAAGTTCAAGCTTGCTTTGGGGTCTACCTGCAGCAGAAGCCCAAAGACTGGCCTGCTGCCCTCCCAAACGTTGGCTGCAGCTTCTCAGGTGAAAGATGTTCCCTTCGTGTTGCTCAGCCCCTCTCCCAATCCCTTCTGCTATCGCACTGAATCGGATGAACTTTGCCTCACAACTCTCCCCACAGTCTATTAGAAACAAACTAACGGCGCCTGAGTAACACTTAATTGGATTCCCCCGGCTCTGACTGCATTAGCTGCCCGTCCAAGGCCCCTCTGACTCACTTATTACTACCTCAGCCCTTGACGAACCCGTGCAAAATTGCATTACGCAGCACAGGCATAAAACCGTCAGGACTTCTGAAGCTCGATCGCTATGAAAGATCCTTTTCACTTTTTTTAAAGAGGAAAACCTAAAGGGAAATCAGATGGGGGAAAATAACTGTCTCTAAAAGCCTGGTAATACCAACACATTGAGAGAGGCCAACCTCCCAGGCCCTGTACAGAAAAAACCTTGCTGAAGTCACGATGTGCCCACTTCAACCCTTGCACTTGACTGCACTTCTTACATATAGTGAAAGAGAAACCCCCCACTGAAGCCCAGGCAGGCAGGCCTTGATAGCAGATAGTACTGGGGAGGAAAACAGAGTGATGGAAGTCACTGCTCTGAAAGACACAAACATCTCCCAGCCGGTGCGTGTGGGTTTAAATCCCAGTGATTCCCACCGGCAACTGAGGAAACAAAAGCATACACAGCACCAGGATGACTCTGCTTAGAGTCAGGTTTTGAACTTCTTTTGCTGTAAAGAGGCACTTGGGAAGTCGCACTGGCTACAATTAAAGAAAAAAAACCCACCTTTTAATAACCTCTATTCTTACATGTGCAGTTGGAGCTACATATTTCATGAGTGCATCTATTATAGATACCATCTGAATAAATACACGTATTTATAAAGAGAAATAGCAAGTATGGTTACCTATCTGCTCATCTGTATGTAGTGAGCGTGTGTTTGTGTGCATGCCAGAATTACGCAGTGAGAGTAAGGTTATATAGTTAGAGAAAGCAACAGCTTTGGTTTATTTTAGTTGCAAATTCCCAACACAAAAAGCTGCACACGAAGAGGTGTAATAAAGCAGTATGAAAGCAGGCAGTGATTAACAGCCCAGAAGCTTCTTTCATCATTATCAACTATTTACAAAGAGGCATTTATATGTTTCCCCGTCTCTGGGGAGCTGGCACTTAGCATTAAAAATACATGAATAACGAATGAAGCCCTGTGTACCTTATGGCCTTTTAATAATGCAAAAATCTTAGGATTCAGGATATGATACAGGTAAACAAAGGAAAAAAGACTGGTGGGTGGAAATCAGTGTGAGATCCCTATGCAAAGGACAATTTATAGCATGTGGGGGTTAAACTGTAAAACAGTGGCTTGTTGTCAAGCTCTTCTAATTAGAAAAATAACCCAGGGAACGGAAATATGAGCAGCAGAGGGTGTAGTCACCGCTATGACCGCGGTTCTGCAAGAACAGGAGAGGGAGAGGGAGAGGCAGCGAGAGAGCAACAGCCACCTTAAGTGCATCCTGCGTGTCATCGAGGCAGTAGACCCGGATGCTGTACTCCAGCGAAGAGCAGGACAGCGGTCCAAAGATGGCCAGTTTGAGACGCTTGGCTGCTGCTTTGGTGATTGACTGCCCCACCAAGGCATATGTGCTGAGGGTTTCTGTCAGGATATGGCAGGCCTCTGGGTCCAGCTGGATATAGCACGGTGTGGTGAAGTTTTCCTCTCCGACCACCACCACATCCTAAGGGAGAAAGAGGCCAAGTTAGAGCTCCTGACTCCTCCAAACTGCTTTCCTTTGAGACAGCAATGCCCCTTTCAAGCCTGGATGACGCACAAAGTCCTTGCTGTTTGCACCTTAGATTAATCAAGACCTAGAATTCCTGCTTCCAGCTTTTCTCCTGCATAGGCACAGGGAGGGGACGATTTCTCTGGGCTGCTGGTGGTGCTGATGGTGGTAGAAACCTCCTCCTGTTCTTACTCTCCTCAGACTTGTAACTCTTTCCTCTAGGCACTGCAGCAGCTTTTAAAGCCCTGTGCAGAGTCAGGCAAATAATGAAAATATCTCCAATACTTTATTAAAAAAGATGTTGCAGACTAATCATTCGGTGACCACAATTTAACATTGGTAGCTGCAGGTGTGTTGAATAAATAACGACTCGTTACTTCCTAAGCATGACAATAAGGAGTTATACAAACTCAAGGAAGGGAAGTAACCTCGGTGATGGCCGAACGCCACATCTACATGAAATATCACCTGCTGCTTCGTTGGAATAATCCTCCGTGATGAGACTGCAGGGTGAAATAAAAAACAGACATTCAGCTCGAATGCAGACAACCTCCCCAACCCGTGCGTAAAGGAAAACAGCTCCCCTGCTAATTTCTCCATTCAACCCTGCATGCAATATCCTGAATGCAAAACAAGGTGCTTTGAATGGCTTTGAGAGAGAGCAGAAACAAAAAGGCAGCAGCAGATGATGGTCACCTCTTGCAAAGCCACCACGTGCCACATGATGCTCGGCACAACTCATCTGTTCTATCCCTGCTGCCTGCAGCACAACGTACACATTTGGCAGCTGAGCAACGCGGGCTTGTCTGAAATCAGGTGTTAAGCTCAGGTCTCCTAGTCTCAGGAAAGGCAAATGTGCCCCGTCTGCAGGGGTGGCACAATCCTTCTGGAGGGCAAGGTGCCACAGCGCTGGCCGCACCCCTGCTATGGCCATGCCAGCAACTGGTGTTGGCCCCGAGCGATGCTGCAGGGCTGTGCACGTGTGTGTGTGCACATGCACGTGTGGGGCTCAGCTTGGGGGAGCTGCTCCAGCATGGAGCGGAGGAAGAAGATCACCGTGCAATGGCCAGGGACCCTGTGGAGACTGCAGAGGCTGCGCTGGCACCAGAGCATGTGCACGGACAGTGGAACAACCACTCTGTCAAGGGCAGGAGGACAACGGGGGAGAAAATGAAGTGCCAGTAACACACAGACACAAATAAGGAACATATGTGCGGTGCCAAGAGTCAGGCCGGTGGGGTGCAGATTAGCTGGCGAGACAGACCCGTGTTCTCTGCACGCTCCCTCCCAGCGTGACGAGAGCCGGTGCCACAGGCAGGCGCACAAAAGCGAGAGCCTTTCGAAGGCAATGCTGGACCCGGCGCTCTTGCTGCTGTCAGCCCAACTGTCTTCAAAAGCCACCCTGTCTTCATTAAACCTACTGGTAGGAGAAAGCACCCTTGCCAAACTAATTATGTGAGACCAAACTGGTGGCAGCCAGTATCCAGGAGCTGGAGAGGAGGGCTCTGCCAGGACGGCCCAGCCTTGCGGAAAGCATCACTTTATGCTCCAGTTACAGTAGAAGATCCTTCTGCCACCCTGCCCCAGGACATCCTCGTGCTGCGCTGCTGGCAAGGAACCACCCCGGGCTCCCACCCCAGGCCTGCACTGCCCAGCAACGCTTGTGCAGCTCCCCTGAGGTCACAGGGTGCCGAGCTGGATCCTGGCTGCATGAACTGAATCAAAGTGATGCTCCACCTCAGGAGGGAAAAGAAAAGAAAGATAAGGCCTATACATTTTACTAAGATGACCAATGTCTTGATGCTGAAGCAGATAATTTGCAGCATTATTTTCACTTTCTTGAAAACAGATTGTAAACCAGGGGAGTGAAAACTACTCTGCAAAAAACATTTTCTTATCAAGTATTGAGTCACTCAACTGCCAAAATCCTGTGACGAAGGCTATTTGATGGAAAACAGCTAGAACTAGGAGGCACCAAACTGCCCCAAGACAGCACCTCCGTACGGGCGCTGGGCAGCTTAGACGCCTGGTGCTGAAGGGCCCTCCTGCCTGCCCGCAGCAGCCACGCATCCCACACGGAAAACCCAAAATGCAGGCATCCTGGTTCCACAAGGCAGCCGAAGGACAAGAGGAGAGCCCTGCTGCAGCCAGCACACAGGCTGAGCTCCGGAGACTCACCTCCCACGGCCCCTGGGCAGCCTGGTGCTTCAGCTGGATCTGCCAGTCCTCCGTGTTCGGTTCTGCGCAGTGCTGCATGGTCAGGATGACGGGCCGGGTTAGCAGGGCTCCCGGCGGGCCGCAGCTCACCACCGGCGTCAGCAGGGTTTGGCTGTCTTCTACAGGCGGCCTGACAACCGGACAGAAAGATGGATACGTTAAGTGAGTTGAAAAAGGCAAAAAGGTATATTCAGACGTGCAAAAATAAAAAAATCTTCTCTTAAAATAAAAGATTACACAAGCAAGGAAGGGGTGATTTTTATTTCCCCCCAAATGCAAAAATGTGTTCTTTTTTGTTTTTTTGTTTTTTTTTCAAAATATCACTCATTTGTCAAAATGCAGGTTTAGCTGGCAGCAAATTATAGACCACGAGTGCTGAGCACCCTTCACTCTGAAGGATCCTTGCAGACTGCATGCAGAGGCTTCATTTTATCCAACGAGGCCACTGCTGCATTTGGCAGCTGCTTAGCAGCATACAGACATGAGCTCTTGTAAGGACCACGTGTGAGAATTATTTACTGTCTGGACAGGAAGAAATGAAAAATGGAGGAAGAGAACGAAGTACTGAACATGTCTGAAACCTCATAAGTGGTACAGAGTGCATCCGAGACATGCAGTTTGTGTTCAGAGCCATCACCAAACCCTCTGACACTCCATTTTACTTAAAAGGCATTCAGATCTACTAGAAAGGCTATTGCAAATATGCCTGTGGGGAGGAGGTGTCACCGGCAGTGGGGGAGAAAGGGCGAAGGGATGGTAAGGAATAGGGCAGAGGGCAAAACATACTCGCAAAGCCGGAGATTTCTAGGGATAACCCAGAGATGTTCAGTTAAAAATATGGGCATTGTCCAGCACACTTGTGGCCAGTCACGAGGAGTGGGTGATAGGGGAAATTATACAAATACATAGGATACCTTGCACACACTGTAGTTTGTAAATGATACTCTGTGTGTGTGTGTGTGCATGCGTGTGCATGTGTGTGCGCATGTGTAAACTACTCCGGACCAACTGCTGAGGAGCTTAAAATCAGAGGAAGCATGAGTGACTTTAACTATCCCGACATCTGGTGTATGACAAACACAGCTGAATGTGCCTCATCAGCTGCCTCCCTAAATAATACAGAGGACAAATTCATGATCCAGAAACCAGCAAGTGGGACATTAAGTGTTTGATGTGATCTGCACTTCAACTCCAGATCTGGCCACAGGACTTCCCATTTTCTGCTCCAGCTAAGGACTCAATCCCTTGTTGCATTTACAAATATTTGTATTTACATTTGTATTGGTTTTAGCGGAATTAGTTGAGAGGACATTAAATAAACAGTTTATTTCTGCAACTCTTTGCCTTTACCAAAAGAAAGAGCAAAAAAAGTACCTGTAATCTTAGATAATATTTTCAAGGAGACCAAATCAGGATAGAAGGTGTTTTGATATCCGATTTATTGCACCTATTCTGGCTATTGCAAATATATGTTCACAGGCTTATCCTAATTTTGCCCACCTTAATTCTCCCTGAATAATCCATTAATCCCACAGAAAATGAAGGAAAAACTTTATAGAAATCCTTTTCCGAAGTGGGATGAAGGCACTTTTGAAAAGTGTCTCTTGTTGCTACAAATGTTGTGGGAGGTTTTTATAACATTTGAGGGGAAAAAAAAGAGGTCCGGCATGGAAAAATGTAAATCTATGCAAATCAGTAAATCCAGATGATATGCATCTGTGGAAATTAACTGATGAGTTTACTAAATGACTTAACAATTGTTTCTGAAAAGCCGTGGACTGGAAACAAACAGCTGTGATATAGCTGCCTTTCCAAAAAGATGTAAAATATAACAATCTGGACAGCTATCATGCATTATGCCAGCTATTTTAGCCTAACAAACAGTTTGTAAAAGAAATGAAACGCTAGCAGATAGAGTACCCAGTCCAGCTCCTCTTCCATACTGTAGGGATCTCAGGATTCAGACTAAGAACATCAGGGATCACTCTCTTGCAAGACTGAACTGAATAAATCATTGGGCAGATTTTGACTATAACTTTTCTTTTTCAGACTCATTTACTTCAGGTTTCCATAAGAAACAACAAGAAGCTTAAAAAACACTCACAATGTGCTGGTGGTTTTTAATGGTCATCATCTACCTTGTGCATGAATGGATATTTGAACACTCTCCTACAGTGCAATTCAAGAAATTTCAGAAAACATAATGTTTATGAGAAAAATCCTTTAAAATTACAATATTTGTCTGGAAAGCTACAGATATGACAAGCTGTAGACTTAATCCTCTGGTTAACATAACTTCAACTAAAAGACTACCGACATCTGAAGAAAGAAGGAAAAAAATACAAGTTATCATAGTTTTTTGGACTGAATTACAAAACCTGCAGTCGAAAAGAATATAGGAAGGAATATATCATGCCTGCTGTAAACACAGTGTCTTTTGGGTGAAAAATGAGTTAAAATCAACAAGAACCTGAGCACTGATGCATGCTGTTGAAAAAAGCCAAAAGGTCATTAAAATAATATGGTACTGATAAATCACACAGCCTAAAGTTGTCTCAAAGTAAAATTAACTTTAGTCACTGCTCTGTGACAAAATCCTGTTTGCTGCTAAATTTTAGGACTCTGATGGAGGCCATGATTCTGCGCCACAACATTTTATATCCGATTAGCACAGGTGTAAAAGATGACGTAGAACACAAATTCAGGAGGCGTCCCAGACTGCACAGTCAGCAAGTGAGGTAGGAAGCGGATACAAGCATACAAAGGACATGCCAAAAATAGCACGGCTTAATATTTTTTCCCCAAGTTGGTAAGCACCGTCTTATTCACCAGACTTACGAGATTTCTTGTCAAGTGGATGAGACATGCATGCTCATGACCTAGGTATGTATGATACAGGACACTCTGATGAGCGAAGAGCAGAAAAATGGGTCAGCTGCAGGGGGTGGTTGACTTTGCAGTCCCAAATTGCCAACCAGACACGCATCTGAGTCCGGCACCACAAAGTTACGGAACACGGCTGGTCCCAGTGACTCTCCTCCACCACCCACCTCATGCAGATACTGACCCACCTCAGCTCTCCACCAGTCTGGGGACTGCAAGTGACCTAACTAAGTGTCTAAGTGACCTTTAAGCCTTTGAAAACTGAGATTAATGAGTCGCAGAGGAGTTCTCAAGTGGAGTGAAATGGGGGTCAGTGTCACTGAACAGGTGAAATCCCAGCTCTGTTGAAGCCAATGCTAAACCTCTCCCTGACTACTGAGAGGCCAGGATTTCTACTCACAATGTGGAAGGCAACGTAAATAGCAAGACAATCATTAAATTTACAGATAACTCTAAATCAGGAATTATTGCAAGTAACGAGAGCCAGAAAATTATGCAAAAGATCCGGAGAGGGTAAAAATATGAGTAGGAAATAAAATCCTGTTAATTGTACAACAGCTCACACTTCCAGAGCAAAACAAGATCCAAACATAGTTATTTAGTAGCAAAGAAACGCAGCAAAAGTGAAAAAGATCTCAGGTGAGTTTACTGCAACGCAGCAGGCATCAACTTGCAATGTGACACAGCGGCAAAAAGCAAATCTGATTTCTGGGACTGTATGGGACAAGGGATGTCAGAGCACGCTGAGGTGATATTCCCTTTCCTATCCTGCTCTAACGTGACTGAAGGTAGCAGGGTATTTAGGGACCGCCAGGAGATCTTGGAAATAAACACCTGAAACCCAGAGGAATGAGGCTAAACCACGCAATGGCACACACAGCAGAGAGGTACCTGACAACTGACAGGAAAATGGAACAAAAATCTCTTGACAGATCTTTTCTTATTTCTCCCTGTTTCTAATTTCCATTTTAAAACAAAAGGATTATGCCTTACTATAGCTAATGAGAACACAAACAGATGCAGTAGACAAGATATATTATACAAGAGATATTAATCTTTTGCTTCAAGGCATAAACCCAACACTAATTGATGGGATTAGTAAACAACAAATTCCCCTGAAGACAGGTTATTGTGTAGTCATTCATTATGGGTAGTTTTCTACCTTCTCCTGGAGCAGGTGATGCAGCACCATCTAATCCAGGAACCTGGCCTAGACGAGCACCTGTTGTCATCAAGTATTATGATGCCTGTGTTACAGATGGCAGGAGATCCAGCACAAACACAAACACAGGGGAGCATATAGAGGGAGGGAGCTATCTCCTCTAAAGCAGAACGAGCTATGAGGAGACATCTTCAAAACTATAGGTCAGAACGTACTTTTAGGCTGTTATCCAAAAAAACTCAACAGCCAACACCCCCCCCGCCTCAACCCCCTATCCACTTGTGCTACTATTTAGGCTTGCAGCAGTCTTGGGGTTACTTATGAGATGGGACTGGGCATTCAGCTGTGCTAGTACAACTCTGAAGTCACTTCACTGCAGGCAAAAGAGATGTTTTTGTTTTACAAAGATCTGTCTGAGACTAAAATTCAATCATCTGTTTAACATTATGATTAAAAGGCACTAATAGTAACTGAAAGGTCATCAGATATTTTTAGACGTTGTCCCATCCCGCACCACTCATCAAGAACAGTCACCTTTTATTTAAAAGCAAACAAACTTTTATTCGCTATATCTGGGCCCTTCACAATCAAATTTGTGTTTTTTTTTAAATGGGATTACTCATTTGAAACCATCTCCCTGTAATCAGCCAGACCATATTCATTAAGGTAACTGTCAGACAGCAGATGTGAGCACAACTAGAGAAATCTCTGCTCCTCAGTGGGCCTACATTGCACTCCCTGGCACCATGAATAGACGTTACAGACAATCACAGCATCTCAGGAAGCACAGGACAGAGCAGGGAGAGAGGAATGGCTAACTCATAGCAACAGATGGCAACCCTTCTACACAGCTTAGCCAAAAGTCAGAGAGAAGACATTTTATTTCTCCTTTCATTGCTGGGATTTTATTTTTAATGTGGTTTTTCTTAAGTTTCAAACTTAATATTCTCGACTGACCCTGGTTTTTCTCTCTGTCTATCTTTAGAAGGAAAATGATCTGAAAGGTTTTCCTCCCCTTTTGATCATTCTCTGGTCATTTGTATTTCAAATGTTTCAATTATAGTGACTGGCACTTCATGATATTATCTTCTGGAGTTGCAAAGTAATTTTGTTTATGGAACTGAGATACAGAAGGAAGGTGGAGAAACGAGATGTGGAAGACTTCAATTTCTTTTATTTCACATCAGTAAGTTTAGAGTTTACTGGTTAAAAAGGCAATATTGCTCCTTGGATCAAACTCATTGATCAGCTGCGTGACTTCAATATAAAGTCTATACAAACACTGTGAAGCCACTGATGGAAATCCTGACAAGGCTCACCTGACCCTTCTCTCTTTTCAGGCAGCTAATTTGGAAGTTGCACAGTTTATGTGCGTCTTCCATCAAGATTTTCAGGAGCTCTGCTTGCTCTGTTCTTCAGAGTTGTAACATTCTGTGGGCATGGCGACATCCACTCTCGTTTGTGTCATCTCCCGTGTGATGGATTACGCAGGAGTGTCCTTCACTGTGCCATATTTAGTGCAGTTCTTGCCTCTGATTAGAGTATGCAAGAGCAGCTCCACCTAAAGCTGTGCAAGCTCGGTAGGGGTTCACGTGGGAAAACAGGAACTGCCATATGAGATCAAATCAGTGGCCCATCAAGGCCCAGACTCTGTCTAGCACTGACCAGTGCCAGATGTTTCCAAAGGAAGCACACAGCTTCGTTAATTTAGCTCACAGCTAATTTGTGTTTTAACCCAAGGCAGTCAAGAAAATCCTGAAGGTTGGTGGTTTATACTCATGCTATTTAATCCTTAGTTGTGCAAGACCTAGGCTCTCACAGATGCTCGCGGGAACAGCTCTTGCCAGATAGTGGTGACAAGAACTTGCTTATTTTATAGGTGAAACCACAGTTCAAGACAGCACTCCTCCCTACAGATCTCAAAGACAATGATACTCCCCCAGACTAAGAGAGAAAGCATCTGATCACTACTGAAAAAGCCAATTAGCTTTAAGACAGAAACCTGCAAATAGTTGTAAAATATTCTTACAGGTTTGTTATTATTTCAGTTACATGTACCTCTATACACACACATACATGTATGCGTACAAACACAGAACGACATATGTATACCCAGATATCCTCTTCCCCACTGTAGCTACTTCATAAAGCACATGGACCTTTCCATGAGGTCAATATGAATCTCTCACGCCAGCCAGGGATCAGAGCCTGGTAGCTGCTTACATCCACCCTGCCCCAAATGACAGGCAGAATGAGGATGAGCTCACAGTGCAGGGAAACCAGCCGGCTGGAGTGTTAGTCTAGGAAAAGAGAAAACCCAGTGTGCCACAAGCACGCTAACACACTTAGAGAAAACAACTGCCTCCAAGTGGTGTTCATTGCCAGCCATCAGAACCCCAATTCACCGCAGAAGGATAACACTTTCAGGGTGACCCCCCCTGCTCTCACACGCTTTGATGGATATGAAATGGAATAAATAAAGTGTCTCGGAGAGCTCTCCTAACCATTCTGCAAGGCAACACAAAGAGTGGTATTCCTGGGGTGTGAAGTCTCTCAAATGTCTGTACTACAGGTTTCAGAGACTAACTGGGGAAATGTATTAGGAAAACAAAAGGAAGGAAAAGAAAGGGGGAATTTGCAGGACTCTGAGGGATAATAGATTTCCTGTTTCTGCCTGGCTGTTCAGAAGTGGTTTCATATTTCTACAAACAAAGTGTGAGCTCAGTCTTAAGTTGCTGGAGATACGTGAGCTGTGATGGTGTGCCTCTCAGTTGCTGCACCAGTTCCACTTAGGGCAGCGCTATGGGGACTGCCTTAGTGGTGGCTGTATATCAAGAAAAAAAGCCTGCCTTCATTTCTGATTATAGCACCCATTTTATAGTTTCCTATATGTCCCCTTCCAAACTACTTCAACACATGGCAGGACTTTTCAACACATACGCATTTACACATCACACATGAAAATAAATATAAGGTCTCACAGGGTTTATTGAACACACTCCAGTTACCACTTGGCCACAACAGCAAATGTCTGCAGCTAGACCTTACTGTGGACTATCACTCTCTGCTGGAGTGCTGTGAGAGTGCAGCAGAGGATTTAAAAAATAATTACGCTGCACACTAACTTGTGGTACCCTTATGACGCCAATTATATGAAGCAACATCTGTGGCCAATGCAGTCAGACACAAGAGGCTTTGACCGAGCTGCAGCTCTGCTACAGCAAGCGAAGTGTGTGGTGACACCGTCCTGCAGCAGAGGACCATTGCAGCTGGGTGCAGGCAGCCACCCACCCTTTCCTGCTCCTGGGCACCGGGGGAAAAGGAGCAGGTAACAGGGGAGCATGTTACAGTCCTGCAGCATTTAAGCCCTTTTTGGTGACTATTTGGATCTGAGTGATCTAGACGACGTCCGATGAGCTCCATTTTAAACATCCTAGAAGAGGTTGGTTTCCATGGGCATAACAAGCCTGGCATGCTGGAGAGGGCTGAAAAGCTGCCATACATCAAATTAGCAGCTGAGGTCTGTGTGCCTAGGAAACGACTGTCACTGTGACGGGATGAGCCCCATGGCCAAGGCAGTCTGCCCTCTGCTCTCTTCTCCTAGGAAAAGAAATCACTTCTCAAAGTCTTCACTGCAAGTGAGGATTCACACCTTTCTGTTCACTTCTGCAGGTGTACTTCAGCACACTTGCTCAGTTTGGCAGACAGCACAGCTCCAAGGATGCTGTTCCCAATACAGGTTAACCCATCCCTCTATCCCCTGTGTGACCTGCTGAGTAACGGCTATCACAAAGCATGCAGAGGAGGCTTTGTGACCCTTGAAGAAAATAAATCAGACTAGCATGTGAAATTGGTTGTCCACAGCTACATGAATAAGGAGGCAGGGACTCCTTCCATAAGTCACTGGAAAGAAAATAATTGCAGATATAAATTCTCCTAGGAATTAATTTTTTTTTTAATAATTATGTGTTTTAAAAGGGGGATTTGGAGGCAAGTTGAATAACAGGGGATGCCCTCTTATTTTTTTTCCTTCTGCAGGAAAGAGCTCTTTTTCAATGCTGTTTGTAAGAGTCTTTAAAACACAGTCAAAAGTAATAGGAATACAATCAATATTAGATATGAACAGAGACACTTTTCCTGTAGCTGCAATTAGCTATTTTCAAAGAGCAGGCAATGAATAATGCATGCAAAAGGGTGGATGGAGGGGTTACTTATTTTTTCTTTAAGCAGATTATTTTAACATGGGTGAAAGACTACCAAGCCAAAGAATAGTGTTCAGTATCACGCAGTGTATAAACAGCTGTGGCTTAGCACATAATAAAAGCCATTAAGGGGCTGAGCCAAAAAATGTATCTATTTATGAGGAGGGGAAAGAGGCAAAGTACCGTGTAATGATTGCTTAGATTCACATTTGCCATTCAGCCTTGGTGCACGAGTCCGTTCTGCAGACTAAGATCTCGCCTTTCTCTTCATTAGGTTTTCCTAAACTGCTTCAAACGCTATCTTGGCCTTTTCGGAAACTCTTTTTTATGCCAAGGCTGCCAGACCACTCAGTACACACTGAGATCCAGAATATGAATTGGCCACATGTGCAGATAGCAGGTGAGAGCAACATGGCTCATCCCAACATGGGCTCTGGGTAGCCCTCAGCGTGGAGTGCCCGGGGCTGAGCAGGACAGCTGCTTGCTTACTTCTACCTCGGAACAAGAAGGGGTGAAGGACACCAAAAGCTTTGGCTCCATCCTCTCACTGCATGGACTAGCCAAGTCCATGAAGGGTAAAATCAAAATTCACCCTCACTGTAATAGGAGAGGAGATTTTCCAAGCCAGGTGCTCAGGCACCTGTCCCTCTGCTAAGTCAATTTGTCACCTTGCTCCTCTGCTCCCTTGTCCTTTGCAGCACGGGTCTTTATTGAGAGATCACCTCACACCTTCTCTGCCACATCAACCTCACTTCTGGCTACGATTCAGCGTCCCCCCAGCCCGAGGGCCTGGTGCAGAGTGCAACTCTTGCTTAGAAAAGCAGAAGCTGAGCTCGTTTTGTGATAAAGTTCGTCCTTGGCTTTGCTCACATTTACCTCCAAGTCAGCAAATAACTTCAACGCAGTAGGCTTTGCATAAGCATATTGCCACAGGTCTTTAGTTACTACATTTTCCCCCTCTGTTAACGCACAAACAAAGAAAGGCCGTCTTTTACCTCATGTTCTCCTTCCTGTGAACTGTCACATACATTTCATAGACTCTCCCTTGTGGAACAGCCCCCGCTGGGATCAGCAAGCTTACTCCTGCAGAACAGAAGAGACAAAAAGATAAAATGGAGAAAAATAGGCAAGTGGGAGTGTGAAGAGGGGTGACAGGAGAGGCAGCAGATGAAAGCTGAGATGCTAGATATTCACCCAACCTCACCAGCAGACACTAAATGACCTCAGCAGCTCAGGAGAAACAGTATTTACCGCAGCCTCGGCTTCTCCGGTGGTCATCTGGTCTGTTCTTATTCCTCTTGTGCATCTGCACTGAAATATGGATGTGGAGGAAAGGATTTTCTTCCCTTCCCTTTCATTTTATTTAAAGAGCAGACAGATGGTTACGCTGCTGCTTACCTTTTAAAATGATAGCAAAACGAACAACTCTGACTAAAATTTCCAACAGCTGTAATGGGACATCTCCCTAGCCAACTCTTATGTAATTACAATCAGGAAAGACAGGCAGTGGAGCACTGTCCCAGGAAGCAAGAAGAACCAGTTGTTCCCTGAAAGACGGCTTCTGTGACTGGCATCCTGTCTTTTAATGCACTCACAGCTTCTAATTAGACTACCAGGGAGACAAAATTTAGCTTCCTGGTATCTTGAATGTGCTGAGTCCTGCAGTGGCTCAAAAATTCGGGTATCCAACCTTGAAAAAGAACTGGGCATTCAGTGATGATTAGCTGCACGCTTGATTGCAAAACAGTGTTCTTGCATTACTGAAATTTCAGAGATGTAGAGAGTGACTCCCCAGCAAACAGAGGGCCCTGCCCTCGCACGACGAATGCGGCACACGAACCAGCTGTTTCGCTCTGCTGGACACGTCTCAGCCAGCTGTCTTTGCAGATGTGGATTAGCTGGGAATCAGTGGCAAGGACTTTAATACAGTTATTACTACGTAGCTGAAAACAAACCTACAGGCAGATTATTTACATATACGCATACGGAAGAGAGGCTTTATAGAAACCTTGCACGGCCCTGTCTCTTTTCTTTGGCATAGGTGGTGTGGTTATGCTGCAGACCTCCCCTGTGTTGGTGTACAGGGACTCGGTCCCACCCCTGGCTTTGAAGGGGAGGCATTCGCTAGGAAACCATTTTCCAGAAACACCTTCTGACACTTGTTTCTTTACAGGCCTGTAACAACCTCACCTGTGCATGTTCTCAGCTGTAACAGGGCAGGTGTAGCGTAAATGAAGGGCTTTGATCATATTACTGGGAGGACATACGTACATCTAGAAGCTGCACAGAGGCATACATGGTAGTGATATATTTTACAGAAGTTATTTTCATAATTTTGAAGGAATTACAGTAATAAATAACCCTTTTTTCTTTACAAATTGATATTAATATATGTGAATTAAACGTGACTAACAGACTTTGCTGACAATGTGCACCACCACGGCCTAAGAAACCTCAGTATTAATACTGACCTTCAGCTGCTACTTAGACAAACGTGAAATCCAGGATTGTATAGAACAAATTTTCAACATTGCTCAGCACTCAGCACCACGTTTCTTTAATTAGTTCAATTTTCACTCAGGCTCTTAAATTTAATAGCTGTTTTTGCCCCCTGTTCCATGATAGCTCAGAGAGGAGGGGCTACTGCTCACCGACCACTTTTGGATGCTTTCTGGGCAGTGTGGGGCTGTGTCCTGGAAGAACCAAACCACCTAGGTCCTGGGCCACCCAGGCGTTTTGCTTTCTCCATAACATCAATGAATAAGAAAAAATCCAGCAAATGAGCAAGAGACAAGGGCACTGCGCTGTAAAATGGCCAAGAGCTGACCACATAATGTAAAGGAGGAAAGCAGAAGTGCTGTGAAACCTTGAGCTATTGAGTTAGGTAGCTGTGGTTGCACGTGCACTGTAGTCCTACCTGGAGTCAGAGCTCCAGAGAAACTGGGCAGGGGTACTCCTGATGACCGTGTAGCCTGCATATCCCCCACACCCAGTATTACATGCATTTGATTCGACGCCACTTCAGATGTTAATGTCGCTCTTGATTAGCATGCCAAACCCACGGGAACATCCAGTTGCTGAATTTCCTTTGAACGTCAGCACTTCATTTAGGATCCTAGCAGCAGTATGGCTCTCCTAAAATATCTGGCTGCAACAGCCAAGCTCTCCCAATTCTGCCCGGCAGCTCTCTGGATCCTCTGAAACTGCCTCCTGGTGCCTGTGTGGCTTGAAGAGGGCCCGGCAGCCTGGCCTCGTACTGTATGAGAAAGGCTGAGCAGCACTTTGCAATAACATCAAAAGGCACTTGCTGCTCCATCTTCCTCTGTCCTAGTTGTAAAACAAGTCAAGAATATACATAACAGGGAGAGAAATATAGAAGAGACACTCTTAGGCCTTATTTTCCCTGGGTATGTAATGTGTGCAGGAAAAAGTGTCTTCCAAAAATTAGTATTCTGCTGTCCTACTTCAATACCACACCGTCTGCAATGAATTGGAAGTGGAACAACCGATTTGTTTTTAATTAATTTGTCCTTTTTATGTCTGATGGCAAGATTGAGGCTTTCTCGCTTGGAGTTCCTTTTCTAGAGCTGCATGAAAGCAAAAGGTCAAGGATGCTGAATCACACTTCACACAGGGAAGCTCTGAAGCCTCGCATGTCTCAGTAAGTGGCTAAGAGCCCTGCAACATTCTGTTAAAAAGGTGGCCAGGACTTTGGGAAAAGAATACTTCAAGTACCCTGGCAGACCTGAATGAGCGTAAAAACCCATCTGTTTGTTCCGAACAAAGAAAAGGCGATGTCCCAGGAGTGACCCTGCTATTTCCTGCATAAAAGCAAGCTAACTCCACTTAAAAACACAAAACAACTGAGCTTCAAAGCCAACATGGCTAGCACTTACCTGAATTGGGAATTACTAGGTGACCTCCTAAAGAGTTGAAGGTCCCAAACGCAGTGCACGATGGGTCTGTTTGCCGAGCAAGGCTCTGGTTCTTCATGTTCAGGGTCTCATTCTCCAGCAGGGACTGTGTGATCTGTGGGGACAGCTTGGAGGAGAAGTCAGAGAGGTCATCCTGGGGAGTGACTGCGCCAGAGGTGTTGTAAACCTTGATCTTCAGGTTGGGCAGTGGGTCCAGTATCGGTGAATTGGTCATTGGGATTTTATCAGAGACGTCATGCAAGGCATACACAGGACCCCTGTACATGGCTGCAGCAGAAGTGAGGTCTGGTGGTACCGCCAGGAGGTCTACATTGGAGATGCGAAGGAAGAACTGTATTACTTCTCTATTCTGATCCTTCGGGGTAACAGTTTGGGTTTCTGTTCTGCATTTTGCCTCAGATTTCATGTATGACATGCTTAGCTTCAGGGCAAGATGTTTTTCTTACTCAGTATATCTAGTTTTATTAACAAATACCCCCTTCCTAAATGCTAAGTGACAATCCTTAACCAATTTATTTAATTGGCCTAGTGACAGCATTCGTAAAATAAATGACAGAAGAAACCTATGAAGTAATTGTGCCCACGATTCCCCACAGTGGGGGATTAGTACATGCATCACACTTTTTGGAGATTTTTTTAAAAAGTGTCTCCAGCAAATTACACTGCTGCTAATCCTCCACATGACAACTGTCCTTTCATCTTAACTCTTACTTTGATTTATTCTTCTTGCACACATATTGGGAAAAAAGAGTAACCCTTCAGCCTAAATGGGTCTTGAAAGAGCCAGTACTACCTTTAGAATGTTTTTTTTCTGGCCAATGAAGTGTGGAAGTAGTCAAGCTGTTCTGCACCAGTGATAGAAATGTTCATTATTAAATGATGTTCTCCTACAACTTTTTCTTCTACATCATCTACTGAAAGTACAGTACTTCTTAAACTACTATTTATGCCTGTGGAGACAGGGCACAGTAAAAAAGGCTATTAGTGAAACAAAGTGGAGGAAGATGTGATAGAATTACCATACTGTAATCTCACTCCTGTGATGAATTCTGCCTCTGTTGTTTCTGCCAGAGCTTTGCCTTTGATTTCAATTTGAGCTAGACCTGTATTTTCATAAATGTCTCTGTGTTTCACTCTCGCATTCATGCTTTCTCTTCAGAAGTTAAATTCCCCTGCTTTATGCTCTTGAGCACACCTGAATAACTCCAGCATGGGTTTTGAGCACTTGACCATCAGAAACAAATGGATGTAATCTGTCTCCCTTTTATCAAGTGCCAACAAGCATTCAGTGATTATCATTCACGCAGCCCAAGAGACCACAACCTTACAGCACCTCTCTGAATCGGTCAACATGGAGTGAAATGACAACTGACCTTGCCTTGCAGCCTTGATGTTAACAGGCTGAAATCCCCCATTGAGCGCCGAGGAGTCGATAATATCTGACTCAAAGTCACGGTGGTTCTTGCGGTAGACAAACAGGGCTACAACCACGGAAATAGCTAGGCACACGATCACGGCTATGACGATCCCGACGTAGAGAGCAACATCATCCGAGTCAGGAGCAGCTAGAGTGAGAGAGGCCAGGAACCTTGAAGAAATGTGCTCCTCACAGGTACTCTCAAGAAAACACATACTTATTATTCTTGTTTCCTGCAGATATTTACTACCTTTTTTATAGGTTAATTTAAAATCCATTTCCAAAGCTATATAACATGTCTATGCCCTTTTGATGGAAAATGTTCTTTGTTTTCTCTCTAACTTGTGCTTAAACTCTT